TAAGACGTTTCGTCTTTGACGGTTCCATCAGTGAATTATGATAATATATAAATGATTATTGTTGACGTATAGGCCCGTAGGCTGCCTTTCAAATGGTGGGACCCCCCAGCCTACGGGTTTGTGACGTTAGAGCACGCGCCTTTCGTTTGACTACCCAGCTATCCACTATCATCATCTTAAAAAGACGATTGTGAAAGTTTAAAGTGCATTTCTGTTTCTTTTAATCAGAGAGAAGACGATTTTACAACTACGAAATACACTGAAAGACAAAGAAGAATTCATTAACCGTTCGACTACAAAGGTAGGTGGATGTCATTTCGATGTTGTTTTTGGGGAATAATGAGCTCATTTCTGTATTTTTTGATGTTATTAGCTAAAACAGTACGAGGAAAATAACTGGCTGGCAAGAAACGATAAGATTTATGCTTCGGACGCAAGAGGTAAGTGGCCATTGTTGGTTCCAATGCACCTTAATTAGCAGAGGATCGTTGTCAGTCCAATCCCAATCATCATCATCATCACCATTATCATTACTGTTGATTTAGATTAATAATAATAGTTACTGATGACAATATTAATCAATTATTAATGATAATAGAAAAGTAATGGATAATGATAATTGATAAGCATTCACTACTTATTTTATCATTAATAATATTTATCATCATCATAAACTGAAGCCCGAAGAACTCTTTCACTCTGCTACTCTCATCATCATCATCCTCAGGTAGTTTAAGGCTTGGGTATTAAGTTGACCTGCGGAATTTTATATTCTTCGATAGCACAATAACCTTTATAAGTACAGAACCGAATTTTTGACACATGTTGGGGATCCTGGTATACAAGAGTTTTATATGACAAATGAGCCAGTTTGTTGGTCACGTGACTTTAAGGCATCAAAAACGGTTTTTCGAAAATGGGGAGTATAGAGGCTTTATCAATCAAGTTCAAACATGCTTTGATATTAAGCTGATGTTGGTTCATATATGAAATAGTCTTTTCTCGTTGTATTCACTTATTATTAAAATAAATATTTAAAAAAATTCAATATGCAAATTAGGTCACGTGACCTGTATCTTTAATAACTCATTTAATAATACATTTATTCAAAGAAAAAAGTCTAAATTGAAAAGCCTTCTCTAATAGAAACCAATCGAAATATAACACATCACGATCCGAAAAATATTTCCACTCCCCATTTTGAACCGAATATTTTGCAGTTAAAATTCAAGCTAGCTAGTCACGTGATACTCCCCTTAAAGTAAAAACATATCAAAATTTTAGCATCCATGGCTAAACATCAATAAAAGTCAAAACATCACCATTTCTTACTAAAGAAAAGGCAAGAAGCTCTTTATACACATATTCTATGCAAACTTGGCTCAACCCAAGCCTTAATCTACCTGAGTCATTATCATCTCTGCTTTGTTCATCATCATCATCATCAACGGGTTATTTTTCTCCAACAGACAGTCATCGGGTCATCGCTGCTTTACGACAGCAAGTTAAAGATTTGCAACAACAACACAGCGAACGAGAGGTTAATTGAATACTTAACTATTTTTTGAA